TATTTCCAAAGCTACATTTAAGTATTTCAACTAGTTTAAACTCACTTACAAATATGTGGATGTTTATTATGCGTGAATGATTCTGATTGTTTATGTGCAGATTAAAATTCCCATTGTTCTTGTATGAGGTGGATCTTGATGAATTCATTTTTTTTAAGCCGGCTAATATGAACAGTCATGATATATTTTGATATATTATAAGTTGAAAACTTCGTAACCGACCAAATGCTGATGACTGCCTAAAGAATGGCATTATCTCGTACTCATCACACTGATTTTTATGATTTTGTAAGCTAGTGGAGCATTGAAGCTAGAAACAATTACATTTTATTCAATCTTTTATAGAAACGACCGAAAACAGGTAGAAAGAAAAAGTTTGAGAATAATTATAAACAAAAAAACTCTACTTTAGTACTGTTCAAAGGGCAACATTATTGTCAAACAGTGTTTTTATCTGTAAGAGTGGTGGCCAATGAATAATCGCACATGAATATGAGACGAACATGCATCAATGTTACATTGTACTTCTTTAATTAGATGTCGAACTATTTTTTCATTTTGTCTTTCAATTTACAAATATTATTTTCGGTCATAACAATGTTTTCATGAGTCGGTGGTAAAATTTTCCGCTTAATATCAATCGACTTTTCGTAGTATTCTAGTGCTTTTGAATAATTTCCTTTCATTTCATATAATTGTCCTAGATTATTGTACGTTACAGCAATCTCTGGATGATTAGTAGGTAAGACAGCTTGTAGGATCTTGAGAGCTTTACTATAATAATCTAGACTCAAATCATATTCTTCCATGAAGTAGTACGTGCTCGCTATGCTATTATAGGTTCTAGCGAGAGCAAGAGAATCAGATGGAAGTGTTGCTTCTTGAATTTCGAGTGCCCTTTTTAGGTTGGACAACCCTTGTTCATAATCGTCTCGCACATACCAGTGTAGCCCGCCGATCCAAGTATAACATTCTCCAACGTCAGCATGATCTTGTCCCAAAAGACGTTGTCTTATATGTAATGCTTCTTCGAGATGTTCAAGACTTTCGTCAGCTCTCTTCCATAGAGTACAGACTTTACCTAAACCTAATTCTGCGTTTCCACTAGCAAGTTGAGTCTCATCCAACATTCTGTTATAGCATTTTCGCGCTTGTTCGTATTCACCCATCTCTATTAGAATTTTTCCGAGAGAATCCATATCAGTACCGTCACCTATTGTGTTTTTCATATAAGAAAATGTTTCTTTTAAATGATAATCATCTTCACTTGCTAATGATACATTAGCTACCCATATTGCCTGCTTTTTATCTTCAGATACTTTTTCAATTCGAAACAAGGCACCA